TCATGTCTTAGTCTGTAATGTTGAAATAAAATACCTAAGACTGGGTTATTTATAAATGTTAATTTTTTTATATACATCTGGAGGCCAGGTAGTCTAAGATTAAGGCAGTCTCAGGTTTGGTATCTGGTGATAGGCCCATATCTAACTCCAAAATGGTAAATGGCTATTGTGTCCTCTGGCAGAGTGCTGGTGAACGCTGTGTCAAATGGTAGGCGGGAAGGAAGAACAAAAAATTATAGCTAGTCCCCTCAAACCCTTTTACAGGGCACTAATCAGTCATGAGAGTGAAATCTTCTGACCTAGCCAGTGTCTAAAGCCCCCTGTCTTCATACTGTTGCCAGGAATCAAGTTGTCAGCATCAGTCTCAGAGGCAAGACAAGGGTTATAAACACAGCACTTTGTTACTGATGGAATATTAAACTATCGCAATAGGAACTTTGTCAGTTCTTAAGATTTCCCAACATAAAATACAATTTTACTACAGAGCCAACATACTGGTTTGGAAACAATGTCAGTTGTGAAAGTTTGTATCACTAATAAGAACAGTTTGCTATGAGGTAGACTCGAACTAAAAGTCTTAGACTCTATCCAGGGTGATTTGACTCTTAAAACATGAAAATGACTTCTTCAAACTCTTGTCAAATCTTTAACACTAAAATCAGAGACTTAGACTCAAACCAGGGTGAGCTTTCCCTGTATCTAAACTTTTGTTGTTGTTGGACTACTATGTAATTAAAGGAACTAAATTTGATTGTCTCTTCATTTTAAAACATTTGTGAAATACTGGCAGGCTTGGAAGGCTAAAAGTAAGGCTTGTCTAAAGTTAAGACAAATATTTTATCATAGAAGAAAATCAGTGACGTAGATGATGACTCAAGATTAATGGAGAAAGGACAGTAAAGCAGCCACCTTCCTCACTGTAACCCCCACTGACTTCTAGCTGAATGATAGAGAGGAAATAAAAATCGAACCAAATGATAACTTTGTCACTGGAGTCTCCTATTGCATATTTATTTTTTCCCAAGTTTAATGCATGCCAGTGTGCACTGTAGAATGGGCCTATTTTTATAGGTTTCACTTTAGCTGTGAACTCATCTTTCTGCCTAACTTTGTGGCTTTGTCACTGTGAGGTTAATCTGTCTTAACAGGATTTTCATTTTCCTTGGGAAAGGTAGGAGCTGATGTTTCTCGTCTTCTCTTTTGGGTACTCGGTTTCTAACTCAGGCAGATTCCCTTACGTAGTCCCAAGATTTCGTGTCCTCATAAGGGAAACTACATGGACATCTTGATATCAGTTTCATGACAGATCCTAAGGTATGACCTCTGGGCAAATTTGGCCATTGTAAGTGTAATCCATTTATTATATTCTAGAGCTCCTGTCTCCTCTCTCTTTCTCTGTATGATTTTTATTTAATTTCCTTATTATTTATTATTAAGTTATCATATGCTGAAGTACAGAAAACATAGAGCATTTATTTTTCAGTCTGAGATCAACTTTCTCTTCAGACTGGCGAGTCCCGATCCATCACTGCGTGTTGACACCCACCATCGATAACTGGGCACATTCTCATCTGCTCCTGTCTGACTCTGACGTGGCAATTACACTGGAATTAAACGCCCTTAGAAACACGAACCCACATATATTAATTGGCATTGATAAATCCTCACTCCATTCCCCTAGATACTGGAAAATATCTGACTTACAGAAGTATAGGGGAAGTTCTGCAGTAAACGTTGAGGAATTTTATAGGTGAACCCCACACACCACTGATAAATGCTATGATTGTGTCTTGCCAAGGTGATTATTACTTATTTATCCAAGTAAATTGACTGAAATGAAGTCAAATATAAAACAATAATTTATTAAAACTTAGAGAATTAATACCAAGACTGGAGACCCTTCAGCAGCTAAGTTCTCTGAGTGTCAGAAGGCATATAAGGAAAATGTCTTCTTAGAGCCAATGGGAAAACATGAACAGGGCCAGGACTCAAGTTTCTTTCTCTTGCCCAAAAATTCAAATTTCAAAGATTCAACTTTTCCAGCACTAATGGATATGTAATTAATAAACCCAGTAAACCCACTGAGAGGAATACCGAAATATTTCCAATGAAATAAATGCTGTTCGGAAGAATCCACTAACTGTTGCCGTAGGGTTCTGTGCTCGGGATGCAGTACTAGCAGCCCACGCACAGGCCAAAACCACAGAAGATCGATTCCGCTTTAAAGATCTGTCTTGGAACGATTTACACAACATTTGCTCAGTCACATCTAAACATCAGCTCCTGTCGTGAAACCAAACAAACATACCCGCAAACATTAGAAAACTAAGTGAGTTGATGTCAGAAGTTAATAACAAAACAAAAATAACAGCAGAAACCCTTGCTCTGTGAGAAGTCTCACCTGGAAACTAATGAGAATAGCAAACAATGTAGTCCCATCTGGTCTTCTGCGTTAAAAAATGGCTTTTTTTTTATTATTATCTCACTTATCTCTTCATGAAATCACTACCATGTTCAGAGACACTGAATCTCAGCACTGTCCAGCAGCCCACACACATGTATGCTCATCCCTGTATGAGGCTACCTGGAAACACAGATGGAGCTTTATAGAAGGTAGTTCGGGGAACAGTCGGACTATGGGTAATCAGTTAAAAATCTCAACTTTGTGTTTACTAAATATGTGGCTCAACAATAAAAGTATACCAGCCTCAGCCTCAGTTTCTTCAACTGTAAGATGTAGAAATCTATCAATGTAGCATGTGATGTTGACCAGCTGGTGAGGACAATGGAAGGAAATATGTAAGTGTGTGTGTGTGTGTGTGTGTGTGTGTGTGTGTTACCTAGATGTGAGTGTTGGTCTCATATTAAACATTGAATCATTAACTGTGAATTATAATCATAACTAATTATATGCCCATCTCCCCTTTCCAGCCTAGTCCAGGAAGCCCAGGAGATATATTCTTGATTCTCAAATCCCTGAGCAGCTTTCTTGATGACTGTCCCTTTAACAAGCCCAGAGAAATATCTGCTGTTCGGAAAGTGTTTATATTACATTCAGGGTGCTGTGTTATGCCCTAGGGTTCAATTTGTTCAACTTTGGATCATAACACTATGTAAGGCTACATAGTGGTATGTAGGTATTGCAATCTGAATACACAGCAACCAAAAATAAATCAAAAACTCAAACAGATAACTAACTGGGGTTACTCGCAGCACCTGGCTGTACCAAGTGACTTCATGGCAGCCTCGGTTCTGAACACACACCATGCATGCTGCCATCTTAGCAGACATCGTCTCTACTTGAAACTATTCAGCATTGTGTATTGTTCCCCCTGTATGTACAAAATGTTCTGTCCTTACGGCAAGGCGATGGGTAAGTATCACCAACAAAAGCTGGGTGTTTTCACTGTCTTTCTTCAGCCTGTAAATAGCAAATCAATACAATTGTGGATTGTTTTGCTTCAGAATTTTTGACTTTTAAGATTTCTGTTTGGATTGGTAACTTGGGTTCATAAAACAATCATTACATGAACTATAGGTTGGGATTAGAGCAGAGTTTCCTACAGTTTCTGAAATGGCCTTAAACATGCTTCTACCTTTTTGTACAATACAAAGTGTCAGTCTTAGCATGGTGATGATAAAGTCAGAAGATCAGAACCACTGAGATGCTCTACTCCCTGCAGCACCAAATTTAGCCAAGACTTAATTTTTTTATGTAGAGACAAATAACCACATCCATCTCATTAGTGTGAAAATTTCATTTTCTCTTTAATAAATGGTACAATTATATGTCTTCATATTTATCATCACCAAATAATTTGTATGACTATTTTATATATCTGTATACCTGGCATTGCATAAAAATTTCTCAGGGAAAATTTTCCCAAGTGGAAAAGGCTTAAGAGTCTTACACTAAAGTTCTAATGTGGTCTTCTTCTAATGCTACAGCCCAAGCCCACTCCTTAGACAAGTGATGCCCTTTCCACCCCAGCCTCAGGCTGCTAACGAGGCCAAAGTCTATAACTCTAGTACTATCTGCCTTCTATCAATGCTACCACAAATCTCACATTGTGGGGACTAACAAATACATATGCACTGAATTTTTAAGAGATACATGGAATATGTCTTACAGCTCACTTCACACTTTATGAGATATACAGAAGCTCTGTCAAGCAGGTTAAAGACAGGGCCATGGGTTCAAATCTCAGCTGTACCATTAACGAGCTAAGGGACCATCGGTAATACATAACATCCAAATGATCTCATCTCACCTGAAAAATGATAGTAACGGGGTGTGCTGAGTGATTGTTCCATATAGCTGTCAATAAATGGCACTGGATGTAATTAGGTATTCTCTAAGAATTAGCAATTATTAATTTTGTTTATGGTTTGTTTTTCCCAACACAATGTCTAGACTAAGTGCTTCTAACTGCCTAAGTCATTTCTCTTTTTATCAGAAAACATAAAATATAGCATACTTACTTCAAATATCAAATTGATTTGTAGCAGAGAGAAAATTACAATCTCAAGAAACTTACTTCTAAAAATTTTAGGAAGAAATGTATTTATAGCAAATATTCTTAAAATAAAAGTCCTAAGTGGCCCCAGATATTCTGTAGTATTCGACTGCTCCAGATCTCTTATATTGGAACCTGCCCACCAGCATTTGGTACGACTTTACACAAATGAAAATGCCATATTGACTTGCAGAAGTGATCTTATAAATACATGCGCACACACACACACACATACAAGCATGTACACACACAAGCATTCATGTACATATGCACACACACATACACACACAAGCACACAGCAATAAATTAGGTCTCACTCATGTGCTAACCTAAGCCTTCATCATGGACCTTGTTGCCTATTAAGAAAAATAAAAACTAATTCTGTCCAGGCTTTGTCTCCTCATCACTTAAGAGTTAACCCCAGTGGCAGGCCCCTCAAACCTTAAAATTCAAATTACTGTACTTAGTGGATGATGCTTCTCTCTACTGTAGAGAGAAGAGCAGAGAAACAACCGAAGGAACAGTGAGGGACTCGTGTACCTTCAATACAGTAATATTCCAAGCGAAGCTCTCGATGGCCTTGTTGAGTTTTCTTCCCTTCAAGCCTTCCTTTGTCCCCAGATTATGAAGTTCCTCATGGAACTCCATCCCTTTGAAGCAAAACACATGTAAGAAAAGTTAGAGCATATTCCAGGAAAACACAGGAAAATGTTCTCAGGAGAGTATATTTATATTCCTGTCCACTCTTATAATTTCTAAACGAATTGAATTGTCTCTGTTTTCATTCACTTAGAGGGCATCTAAGAATGACTGATGCAGGCTAAGTTTCATTCTGAGCAGCCTACATGCATAGAGAAACACAAGAGAAAACAAGGAGCAAAGTCTCCAATAGTTGCCACCGACCTTACTTGTCCTTTGTCTGGTTTTTATGTAGAAGGCCATGGGAGGCAGAGGTAAGCTCAGGTGACTGTGCACATCATTTGCTTTGGTAAATGAAACAGCTCTGTGGCCTAAAAGCAGACCATTGAGCCCATGCAGGTAAAACAGTAATTAGCAGATTTGGTCCCAAATTAAAAGACTTTTAAAAAAAAGCAATCTTAGGAACACCCACATATTTTGTATCTCAGAGTGGCCTTTCATATACTTTTTGCTCTACCATTCTCTGAGGCTTGAATGTCATAAACTACATCACTATCATCTTCTGAAGCTTTTCCCTAGGAACCTCAAGATAGGAATCACAGTTTCTTCTGGACAATTTGTTCCATCTTTGGATGACTTTGAGCCTAGATCTCCTTTCCCAGAGCTTATACTCCTCAGTGATAGCTGTTCTCAGACTAACCAGCTCTAATGAGCTCTGGTCTCTCATCCACAGACCAGCCCTTTCTATGTATAAAGAAAGATATTGGATGGAATGCTCCTGGACTCTCTCGGCTCTGCAGTGAGCATTCTAACTTGCTTCTGCTTACTGGTGACCCATCTTTGAGGTGACATCCAGGCAGGGCCACTGAACCAGTTGGCTTTCTGTATTTGAATAATGTAGACAGCTCCATCTGGGAATGGACAGTGTCCTATCTGGGCTTGAAGCATCCCACCATTGGGTAGGGATTTCACACCTTGTTCCAGTCACCTTACTTTTAGCACTGTAGCCTAAAATCATATTGACTTTGCAGGAGCTTAGAGCCCAGGCTTCCATGCTAGGCCACCCACTCACTAGATGTAGGAATCTGAACTACCCTTGAAATTGCTGGGCTTCGCTATCCTCAATGGGGAAACAGTGAGAGTGTCACCGGATGGGACTGTGGTGAAGATCAAATGGGTCAACACATATAAAGCTTCAAAGCACTGCCTGGGCTCCTGTGTGCATTGGGTATTTTGATTGTTGTGTTTCTCTGTCAATTAAAACATCCAAAGTTGCTCTCTGGTAAGTCTAATAAGAACCACCTTCTTTCAAGCTAGTCAGCTCTATGCTGTGTTGATATGGAGACTGGATCATTTACTAGCCTCTGACATGTCCCATCCATAAGAGGGATCTAATGGACAGTTGTTATGAGCACACTGATAAAGCAGCTGTCAGCACTGTCCTCTGTCTTTCCTCATCATCATCACTCCATGTGTGGAGGGAGGAGCACATGGATCCAAGACTTCGCTGATACGGATGAGAGTGAGCATAAACAGGCATCAGTGGATATGCACAGATATGTGACCCCCTCCCATCCGTAAAGAAAGAACAAATCTAAAATGAGAATCAAAAAGAACCAAAACAGAAGTAAATAGAACTATGGTTCAAATCCTAACTGTGAAGTGGGTTTTAAATGGCCACATATAACCACAGCTTCCCCACTAGCAGTGAGAGACTGTAAGAGGCCCCCCAACCACAAGGGTTCATTCATAAGCCCTCATCTCTAGACCTCTTCAAACATCACCCTCCTATACACAAATATAACCTGACACCACCTAAAGGTCTCCTTTACCAGACAAAGACAAATGTAACTTAAACTGTAAACATGGCCCTAAAATATCTTAGTTTTATGTGGAATAACAGAAATGTTTTGAAGCTGCTGTGACTTGTCATGGTGGTTTCTTGACCAAGTAGAAAAAATATATTACCTGCTTTCTGACACTGTACAATCTTTTCCTGGACTGTGTCAGCCATTTCTATGAGGACCCGGCTCTCTTGAATCATCTGCCACAAAACATCAAAGAGTAGTTGTTAGGAATCCTTAAACTGGCTCACTGGGAAGCCAATGCATAGAGGTGCTCTAAAATATACCCAAAATGAGGGAGCATCATGAGAGATGGGGAGAAATGGGGAAATCTCTGACCCAGCTCTCCTCACCCAGACACCAAAACAAAAGTCACCTTTCTTACAATTGTCCCCGTTGTGTAACATACCAGACATGCACTGGGTGCCAAATAATAATTATTGAATAAGTAAATACAGATTATAAATTAGTCATCAACACTATACAACTTGTGAAGGTTTAGACTGAATAAAACTGTCAATTTACACTAACGCCTTCCATTTCCAAGGAGGGGACGGAGCATGCCTGTTACCACTGCTTGTGGGAAGCAGGGTCAAGAGAGTGACTACAAGTTCAAAGCCAGCCTGTTTAGCTAACAAAGGTCAATCGGGAATACATAGTGAGGTTTAGGCTAGCCAGGGCTAAAAAGCAAGAAAGGATAAAAAAGAGCAAGGGATAGAAAAGAAGGAAATGGGGGAGGAACAAAAGACAGGAGAACGATTTGTAGGCTTAAAACAATTCATCAAATGGCCAGTGATGGCCAGGGAGAGGACAGCTATCAAGTGAAAGAATTCAGAAGGAAATTCCATATGAACCCAACCTAATTTAGTCTTTCTTAACATTTACAAATGCATTTTCAGTTGAATTTTTATTCTAAATGTTCCAATGAGTCAAATCATAGGCAAAATGTTTTCCTGACACTCAGGCAAGACAAACATTCTCTGACGCTGGACAAGCCCCACGTTTAACCTAACCAACATATGTTACTGCTACAGTCTGGAACTTAAATGCCCCCAAGTCCCATGTATTAATGGCTGGATCCCCAGGAAGGTGCCCATAGCAGGGGAAGGAAGCCTCCTGGGAGGTCTTCATGGCACTAGAGTATGACCTTAAATGGGACTGTGGATGGAATCCCTCCCTCTTTTTCCCTTTCACTTCCAGCCATGAGGTAAATGGTTGACTCTGCCAAGTGCCCTGACTATTGTCACACAGCATTCCACCAGAGACCAATAGTCAAAGTGTCTGCCTCATAAGCACTAGAACCTCTAAGATTGTGGGTCCAAACAGACTATCTTTTTCTATAAACAAATCTCAGGTATTTGTTATAGTAATGGAAATACAACTAATACATTCACATGCTTTCAAAATATGGACTTTAAGGTTTAAGGGATCTTAGATATCATAATCAACCCCTTTCTTTTGTAGATACAGAAACTATGAGGTCAAAACTCCTGACCAGTGAAACAGAATTAATTAACAATGGAGCTAAGCACAAAGTCCCCATTCCTGGCACACAACCGCTGTCATTTTTGACTGTCATCTTTTTTATTTGCCCCTATCATGCCCACTCGAGAATTCATGAGCTCACACACAGGAGCAGACCTGCTACAGCCCACAGGCACAAACAAGGCTGTGCATACTATCCATTACAACCAGATTCCAATCTGTTACTTGGAAGGCAATCTTTTTAAGAGGTGACTGATAAGTCCCTTTGATAGTATCTTCACCGAGATCAATTTGTTGGTTTTACACTCAAACAAGAAAACATGACATGACTCTCTAGTAAGAAGCCCTCTTTCTGTCAGTTTGCAACATTTTATTGCAGATCTTCTCTGTGTTTAATTTCCCTGCAAAACTCCATAATGCCACCGCCGCTGTGACCACCTGAGATGGACGCATACTCTCTGTCACTGATTCTTCTGTCTAGACTGGCAAGGTTGTTTTTCCCTATATCTCATGAAGACCAATTTCTAAGGATCCTCTTATCTTTCATTTATAATTTCTCCCTCTCTAGTCTCATCTCTTAACTAAAAATGAGCTAACAGAACCACCAATGAAATTTCACAGTGGATTTGAGTAGCTGTCCCTACCTCCCCTTCCTAACAAATCCAGCTCACAGTCATTGCTTTGATGCTGTGCAGGACTCATTGTCATGTTCAAACATTGGCCCTGGATGTCATCAGTTGGTCCCTGACCAATTCTTTGTCCTAATTCACCAGTCCTACAATTAACACTACTCACCATCCTCCTCCTGGAGTTCCCTGGCTCTGTCTTTTAGTCCCTTTTCCATTTTCATATATGAGAAACTATCTGGCCCCAGTTCTCATTTTCTCTTCTCTTGGTATTTTCATCCCTTTTCAGATTCATCAAACATTCTGTACCCATCACAGCCATTTCATAACTAACCTCACCTCACTCCTCAACTCCAGCGGCCCACAATTGTGGTTTCAAAGGTAGGAGGCTCATGTTCCCTGTGGCATGAAGTGGGGGTGCACAGCATAGATATTTGATGTGTGAGATGAAACAGGATTTTTTTAACATTTATTTTATCTGCAAATATGAAAGACATTGATTGTGCTACCTTGCTAAATTAAAGCCCCGTGTTCCCGAATGGTAGCCAGGGCATCAAGGAGAAAGAAATTAATTTCATGCTGGAAAGAACCTGAAAGACAGCTGCCACTCCCATGTTTCTTCTAGAGAATCACAACTTGCAAATGGCTGTAGAGAGGTAAACTGGTCCCGTTTATTATATTGTTCTAAACTGACTGGACTCCAATGGAGAAAATGAAAACAACTTCACAAGTCCAAGCAAATAGCACCTTACAATAATAGACTTGCCATGATTTCTTCCCCAGACATGATGTGAGCTGAAAATCAATGATGGTGTGATCACATCTGCCAGGCATACTCACAGAACAGGAGAAAACTGTCCACTAGCTTCTATTCTTTATACTTCATTATATATGTGTGTGTATACATATATATTTATGCTAGTATATTACTATGCATATACAGCTTATGATGAGAATATCTGCACAGTATTTATAATGAACTCTAAGTACTATGTGCATTGAATTCTGCTTGCCCATCCCAATTCACTCCTAGGCTCAGGGTAAGGAGGTTGATTTCTCTGGGCAGCACCATGCATGCTCTCCCATTTTTCTTGACATTGGCCAAAGGAACTACCAACAAGGAACAAGAGTAGAAGTCAGTAGAACAGAGGGTTTAAATACCTAGCTCTACATGGTTCCTTCCCTGGTGGCCTATGGTTTTAGAACTTCCTCTCTGCAAGGCTCCAGACAGGGCAGAGGTAGAAAAGTACTGAGTGCCAGAAATAGCTGCCCCTTACTTCATTAGGCCTGGATTTCACCACAGATTTCCACTGTTGCCAATTGCTGGATGCTCACCACCCACTGTAGCCAAGCCTCCTTTGTCCCCTGACCTTACACACATGCTGTGTATCAAACCTCTGAGCCAGCCCAGCCTGTATATACTGTGTTCAGGCCAAGCTTGAGAAGTATAGATCTTACTACTCAACAAAGAAGTGGTTTTTTTTGTAGCAGAAGACCATTACAGAACACTACTGCTGGTAAAACTATAGAGAAACACTGACTGTGTGGGAGGCTCCCCAGCCCCAACGAGAAGATCTACAACACAATTTTTATACTTAATGCTCAGGAAATAGCACAGAAGAAGGGGCAGAGCCAGAAGCCCAGGAAGCCTGCTGTGAGAACGAATACATCTCCTAGACAAGACAGAAAAGCTGAACTGATGAATGGTAAGGTTTCATCCTATCATGCCTCAAACACTAGTTTCCCATAAACACTAGTTTCCATTGGAACTCCATTTAAATTCATAAGCACACCTAACTTGCTATTTAGAGTCACTTTAAGGATAGTTTATCCTTAACAAATGGACAATACTCTTTTGTGCAGAAAAAAAAAATCTGAGCTGAGAGATGATTTGCCTAAAGACACTGGGTTAGAGCAATACTTGAGAGTGGAATCCTGGAATTGTGAGCACCAGACCTAAGCTTCTGTGTTACCCTGTGATCAGTGTGAGCAAACAGACCTAAGCTTCTTTGTTACGCTGTGATTAGTATTAAAGGTTGAATTTCTACTACAAGAACAAGTTTTTTGTTTTTGTTTTTGTTTTTGTTTGGAGGGGCATCACTTAGCAGCATCCATCAGGCAAATCCAGTGAAGTTTGCCATGGCTGCATCTTCTTCTAGACAGAATTCATGATATATGTCATCCATTATAGGCAGTCTCCCTATGCAATAGGTGGAAGTTCTTTCACTCACATCCCTACTTTTTTAAGGAAGGAGCTAGACATTTGGACAGGTTCCTGCTTGAGAATGTTTATAAAGCTGTGCAGACCCGCTGCTCTTCTCTCCCCCTGAGAGCCATCTATCTATTGCCCTTCTTCTAGTCAAAAACCAGGTCTTTGGGTCTCTAGGTCTCTGATTATATGACGAATTGTCTGTCCAAACTGTTGGAAGTCATCTGAGTTGAATTCTATTAAACTTAGCACATTTGATAATGGGACTGCTGCCTCTTACATATTTGCCAACTAAATGAGGACATTCTCTGTAGTTTTGAATGCTTCCTGTTAAATGGGACAAATACGAGCACCGTTTGTAGACTGACATCGGTTTGATTGTAAGCACTCAACCCCGTGAAAATAGCCAACTCTCTACGAAACAAAAACAAATATAAAACTCAGAATACCGCCAGCTGTTGGGAAGCTGACAATGATGTGCTCCTTGTGCAGGGCCTAGCCTCAGGTCACACTACTCAGCCTGATTCATGACAGCACGGGACAATAGAACCTGAGTAGAGCTGACCACATCCTATGTCTCCACATCTGTGGTGGTACAATTCTACCATCATTACTGTTTTCTTCATAAAGGGATCATTATTATCTTCTCAGTTGTTCTACTTCCAAAGCAGCTGCCAACTAACTTTGAGAAATTGCTTGAAATACTGTTTTTTATCCAGCTCTTAGTACAATTTTTCTCATTCACACAAAAAGCTAGGTGAGGAGATTTTATTAACTTGTCTGGTTGATGTGAATAAATACCTGGCAAACAGTGACCTGAAGAAGGAAGGTTGTTGGGGTCACTTGATGAGGACCAGCTGTCCTGGAGGAGATGGTATAG